ATTGGAACTCATGTACCTTTTCAAATCTGTTACTCCCTGTATTTCAATACTTCATGCTTGAAAATAATTTAATTAGCTTTATTTTTCTCTTACAACCACTATTTACCTAAACCTTGAAAATCACAGATTTGTGTTTCATATAATCTCATCAGAGCAGTTTTGGATCATTAAAAACATCAACATACAAACAACTTTACCCAACTTCATTGTTTGAAACAACACACGCTGGCTCACCAGTTGTACGGTAGAGAAATGGCTCCATCAAGTGGCACGATATTGTAAACATTAGACATCCACTTTAATTCGGATTTCTAAACTCAAGTATCTTAAATTAACCGTGTCACACAATCAAGCTAAACAAAGCTTGTATTCCAAATGAAAAGACTCTTGAGAAAATGCCCAGTGAAGACCTTTGCAGGCAGTGTACAGACTTTTTCGTCCATATTTTGGACAATTATTAATTTTTTCGCCAAAAAGCCCCAGATGCGATTGAACGGCAGTCTTTCCGTTTTAATTCAAGGGGTTTTAAGTATTGCTGTTTAGGAACCGCAGCTATTTCTGTGCACAGTCCTCAATTTTAACAGGCTTAAAAATAATTGGACTATTGACTGACAAGCATGCAGCTCAAACCTGTTTCCTGATTTCATCACAGATTAAGCAGATAAAAGATCTGGAGTTGATTCCTGTTGAACCTGTATTTTGTATCTTTTCACTGGAGCTCTTAATAGAGTGTGCAAAGAGATGTTGATGATAGTGAAAAAGACAATAATTAGATTGAAAAAACAAAGTAAACCAACCCGATTGGCAGCCGAAACTTTAGGAGGGGCCAAATCAACAATCGTACAACAAAGGAATGCACTGGCCAGCTCAACAACATCAAAAGGCCTGAAAGACCAAAGAAGACAACAAAATTGCACAACTTCCCAACATCCAAGTTAAGAACAAGAAGGTAGGAGTGCCACTGTCAAGGTCTCTACATTTACATTAATACCTTTATTAATGTAAATACCAAGAGTTAACAACATGATGCAAGCCACTGGTTACACTGAAGAACAAGAAAGCCTCAAAGTGAAAACAAACAAACAAAAAACATAAATATATTGTACAACATCCATCCATCTGTTTTCTTCCACTTGTCTAATTCAGGGTTGCCCATTCCAGCTACCATAGGACAAGAGGTGTGGTACACTCTGGACAGGTTTCCAAGTTAATCTGTGCAAAGTTTTTTTTGTTTTGTACAGACAGACAACTATTCACACCGATGGGCAATTTTGAGTCACCATATATGAAGGAGAATGCACTACATTTCAGTAAAATAGAAACATGAATATAACTAACAAGTTTGCAAATGTTTGCTACTTAGACCTATACACTCTGTATCAGCAGATGATTATTACCCACAGCGAAATCCAAGCTACAGCAACCAAAGGCCGTTTCTTTTTTTACTTCCAGTGTCATAATCTACTCAAGAGTGCTTATTGCATTCCTGGAGAATTGCTTGAGGATGAAAGGGCTTACATCAGAGACCACAGGCCAGTCGAACAGTTCTGAAGGAACATTTCAGCTTTAGCAGGATATTCAGTAACAACAACAATAACAGCCGGAAGATTCCTCAAGTTGTAACTTACATACACGTCTAATACCGAGCTCTGCCCTTATCTTTTTTTTATATGAGCGCTAAATCATCAGTGTAAGTTACACTGTAACTTATCCTTAAGTTTGTGCTAACGATTAAGCCCCTTTTATGTTGTTACTCGAAATGCAGCGATAAAATGCCACAGTGAAGACCATGAAAAAACAGCAAACACATTCAGTAAACTGAGAAGCAAGAGAAATGGTAGGTTTTTCTGTTGTTTTTGGCTTAACTATACACTGCGTGACTTTCACGCGTTGCAACCATGTACAAAAAAATCTATATATAATATATATATAAATACATAAAACCAGTTATGCTTCTTCAGGCTGTGTAAATTAACCTTATTTCATGTCGGTGCACCAGCCTGTCTAATATGTTTTTGCAACCCCTATAGCGCTTATCAGTCAAGTCACACTTACATCGAAACCACGAGTATCGCTCAGTTTCATGCGTGCGTAAACACTGTGTTGCATTGTGGATATTGTAGGCACTGTCTACCTAAGGCCACTCCTCCTCCGGGATTCCGGTAATAATTTAAACTTCCAGTCCCAAAATGCTTAGTGGCCAAAGGCAAATAGACTAAGAAGAAGCTGTGACGTGAGGAGGTCGGGGTTCTCGTTTTCACGCCCTAAAAAGCAGCGCTGATGATACTGGATTGACCTCTTTTCTAGCCAAAGAGCTGAAGGAAATCTACAAACATCTCGTGCTGACGGTTAGATCAAACTTTGATTTCTTTGTCTCGTATCTAATAGTTTTTCGTCTTGGTGTTAATATTAGGAGCACTCAGACGAACAGCCGAGGCGTTAGACTTTATGACTTTGTCGCTACTCAGTGAAGTCTACACCTGTTCAGGTGCGAAAATGGCAGTGACGCGTGTCTTGATGTTGTAGATGTGTTTAGAGAAGCTGGAGCTGAGGGACTTTGTGTTAAAGTGTTTCTGATCGGATTGTGAATGAATCAAAGATTTGCTTGATAGTGTTTTTATCTGATCAGAGGGGAAAAAATAATGTTCGCGTGAATTTAATTGGAGCTGTTTGCTCAGCCTCGAATAATAATGGAAAGGAAATGCAATGCAGATCAAGTAAAGCAGTGTTTCTTCGGAAAATACACGGTCTGTAGTACAATAGGACTGGACTTTGATCATAGGAAGAAGCTCTTTGTGAAGTGACTAGTGTGCCATAGGCTTGACAAGACCAACCTGTTTTTGTGCACTGGTGTAAGAAACCACATTATTAATGACTGACTCACTGTGACAACTATTGAATGGGTAGTGTCATTTTACGCAAACAAGTAACAAACTGAAGAGTTCAGACAGTTTGGAGCAGCTTTCTGTAACAGACTGACGCTCCGCCGAAACCCTGGGGCCCATTCTGCCTGACGAAACACCTGCGAGACAGAACAAAGCTGTAGCTTTACTTTTATTGTGAAGGTTGCTGCCACCTGTCACAACACTTTCAAATTCATCTAT